CGCACTGCCCTTCATAAATCCCATTCTGCATTTTGTTCAGGGTCGCTGATGAAAGATGGGACACTTGGCTACCATGTATGGTGACAGTGTGGAGATGCTGCATTCTGAGTTTATTTGCCATAATGAAAAAAAACAGTAAAGGTCCACACATGCACACACATATAGACATCTAGAGTATTTTAGCCAGTCGCTGTAAACTTGCGGATAGAGAAAAGGAGAGAGAGAGGCTGAGAGAGGGAGCGTTCAATCATCTGCCTCATCCCTCGTTCTATCCCAGAGGGGAGAGGCAACAGTTGGAAATATGAATTATGAAATGATAAGAGGTTGTAAAATGGAGATAAATCCTGGTGATTACACAGCTCAGTATCTCACAATTCGATTCCTCCGCCGATGATTCTTTATTGTAGTTGTGTGAAGGACAGCAGGCCTAATAATCCCCCATGTATGAAGCATGGCGAAGGAAAGCACTGTGATGATAGAGTTCTTTTGAACGTGATTGAGGAGGCAATTACATTTTGCATCTCACTTTCAGGTTTTTATTTTAATGCTCCTCTTTCTTTTGCTCATTCTCCAATGGCAGAAAATCGACCACATCAAACTGTGTTTGTCTTCTCTTTCCAACCCCTGGGGTGCCAGCGCTGCAGAAAGCCCAAGAGATAACAAGGGGAAAGACATAAAAGCACATAAACAACACACACACAGGCGCACACACAGCAAGGAGAAAGGAGTGTGAGGGTGTGTGCTTGTGGAAGTATGTACAAAAGTTCAGTCTCATTTGTGTCTATGCAGATGATTGTGATCGAGAATAAAAGTTTAGTTTCCCCGCTGCAGTTGTGGGTAGCTGGTAGTGTCCCTTTTTTTTCTTTGTCGCTGGGATACAAACATACACACAAATCTTGACCACCACCTCCCTGCATCCTCTGCATTTGGACAGAGAGGACCAGTCTTTTGCTGTAGGTCTTCTTCCAGCTGCCTCTAAACAGAGGGTTTTATCACAGCATGGTGTGAAGCCTGAATACAACCAATTACCCAGTTATGATAGACGTGTGCCATGGCAGCTGCTCTCTTCTTTTTTGCTCCTTTATAGATAGCGTTGTTGCCTGGCATGGTATGTTATGTGTAAGCGGAGGATATAGAGGGAGGAGAGTGTGCACAGGCACAAGGTTTTCCATTCTTTAATCTCAATTCACAGACAGTGGCTTGATGGGCAAAATGCGATCCACCCAGTTTTTCCCCTGCTGGTTAGGCGGATTGAAAACAGTGACCTTCCACCGCCTCCGTCCGTGTGTAAAAAAGCAGTTTTCTCCTCCTTTTTTACCTCCCTGTCTTTTCAATAGTTGTGTAATGTCACGTGGGGGCCTGAAGGACAGGACATAGTTCTGTTCTGCAGACAGGTGTCCTGACCTTCTGTCTGCTCTCCCACGCCTCAGGGGACCTCTGCGAAATAGAGGCCAAGGCTTTGACCTAGTCTCTCATCTACAGTTTGTCTTTAAATGGAGGCCCACTGCAGATGCAATGAATCAAAACACTGGGGTAAAATGTGTCTGTACAATCCCTTTTATTTCAGAGGATTTTATTTTTTAATTTGAACTATCAAAGAATAATAAAAGGAAAACCAGTGATGGTCATTCTTCTCTTCAGCGGGCTTCCAATCTCCCTTCACTCACAAATCAATGGAGCACCCATATGCTACAATTAGATTTCAAATGGCCTCTCTCCAATACCCACTGGCCATCGCAAGATTGCATTATTCAAAGATGGAGATGAAAGTCCCCTCTGATCCACCAAAATAACATCTTGTGCAGTGATCTGTTTGTAGATTTGATTCCTTTGATGATATATCCCCTGCAGTTGGCTTTTCACCAGGTCCTCATAGCTGTAAACGCTGCTTGTACGTTGAGCCGATTATTCCCCCCATTTACTGGAGTTATAGGCTTCAACCTTGTAAGCAACAATGCTTCTAAAATGTGAGCGCCCGAGTTTTAAAGAACATCAAGAATGACCATGGGAGCAGATGAAATGTCTGCAGTAATTACAAGAGAAGAGAGAAAGGGACACGGGAATGGTTACAAAACAGAGCAAACTTTGAAGAGGACGTTCACAGCCATTTTCCAAGCAAAGAACCAATTGTGCTGCTTTTTACATTTGTGCTTAAATGTGTTTTGCAGGATCAAAGTCTTTATTGCTCTGTTACCAAGCAAATCAAGGCAAAAGAAAAGGTGTACAAGCTCATCACCGTGGTTACAGAGATCCCTTTTAATAGGGTGTCCCATTAATGCACCAAGTTACTTTGCAAACAGTGCCATCCTCTTTTGTTGCACTCCTGCACTTTTAATTAGATGCATATTTTAAAGCACAAATTTATTTGTGCTAATGTAGACTACACATTGATGGAACACACTGACAGCACCAAGTACCTGTTGATTTCTTTAATTTTGATAAAGTAGAAAACTTTTTATTCCCCATTTTGGCATTGGACTTTCAGTGTGGCTTATTTTTAATAGTGGTTAAAAAACCTTGAGAAGTTTATTGTTCATTAACAGTTTTGGGGCTGGCTGATCGTCCCAGGAGGTGTCAGTTGAAGTAATTGGGAATGTGCATGCTAAATAATGCAAGGAGTGTTTAAAAATGCCATTGCTCTACCCTCACTTTCATGTAATTTGTCTCCTTGCGAAATGGCTGCAATTCAATTGTTTACAAGGACACTCGAGTGAAACAGCTTTGTCACCTGGAGAAGAGGAAGCGTTATGTAAATAAGATCTTCAGATGAGCATCAGAAATGATGCCAGACAGTGTATGAGTTGGTATGCAGTGGACTTCCTTTCTGAGTGCAAATATAGCCAGTGCAGTCTGGGCCCAGCAGGTTGTTAGGGAAATGTGCTACATCTCGGGTTCTCTCTCTACTCTGTGCTCGACTTGTGCAGATAATCACCCACTTGTGTGATTGTATGTGAGAAGCCATCATCTTCTTAGTGTTTTTGTGTATGCACACGTGTTTGCACACTTTCATATAGTTGAATATGATATATTGTGTATTTGTGCCTTGTCAATCTGTGTGTGTGTGTGTGTGTGTGTGTGTGTGTGTGTCTGTCAATGTGTGTCACTGTGTGTGTGTGTGTGTGTGTGTGGCTTCCTGTGTGTTTCATTCCGAACATTGCTTTCTTGAAATACTAAGCAAATCTCCTCAATGTGATAATTGGCTCCCCAGGGTGGTTGTGTCTTTGCGGCTCATCATCGTCATCCCCTCCAGAAAGAAAAAAAAAGTGTGCTTGTGTGTTAGATGAGATAGGCGAAGGTTGCTCGTTTGCTGGGGAAACTGATCCCAAGTCTGCCTGAACTCTTTTGACAAGAAGAAATGTTGAGGCGATGAGACAGCCGGGGCCAGATCCGGTGCAACCTGGCTGCAGGCTATCTGCTGCTATGGCATCAGGGTTTTCAGACAGACACAGTGCCATGGAGGAAATAAGATATTTGAGGCAGGTGATCCAAACAACATCTTTAGTTGTTGCAATGTCATTGAGAGCAATAAAGATATTTTATTCTTTGTTTCCAGACAGGAAATAAAGAAACATATGAGGAGGTGTCTGTGATAAACCAGCCATGTTTGGTTAATAGTTGTAAAAAGCGAAGCCTTTTTTTGAGGCTCTGGATGCAGATAATTTTTTATGCCACACAGACGACCTTCCTTGGTTGTTTGCAAAGCTAACACCTGAGTAGTGTGAAATGCAGACGTCAGTGTTGCTTGAAGGCAAATAGAGACACACTGGTCGATAGTCTCTCCCACCATCTTCCTCCCTCTCTTCCATATGTTCCTGCAGTCCCCAGGGTATTATGGACCACAGAGCAGATTGTTGGCCACTTCATAGGGGAAACACTGAGACAGCTGGGCACCTATCACAAGGCCAAACAGATGTTCAGGTGACTGAGAGGAGGTGAATGGAAAATGTGCAAGAAAGGGATGTGGATGGGTGGTGGAGGCAGAAAAAAATAAATGAAAACATTGATGCAAGAAGTCAGAGACTTCATTAGCAGCCAAATTCCTTCCACTCTTCTTAGGCCACAGGAGTCTGTTTCGTCTCCCATATTGATTCACCCACAAGTCTATCTGCCGTAGGTCTAATGCTTTTGATCTCTTGATTATCTTTGCCTGAATGTGGACAAGACGACTAAGCAGCTCAAGGATTCTATGCTTTAATTCTGATGCACCTTGGGGAACATTTAGACATTAGAATTGAATCTGACCCTAAAACCAAATAATACAACTTTTCTCTCTTATTTTTCTGCCCCACGTGATGATGAAAAAGGAAATCCACAAACAACTTCAACATATTCTGTGGCCCAGGGCCAATCCTGATCCAATCAGAGCTTCTAATCTGACAAAAATCTACATAGTGCTTCTTTATTAATAATAGAAACTTTCAGTCTGGTAAAATCTTTCCCAGGCGGTACTGATGCCCCTTTTTTCCCCCTGCACTGCATTTGTCAAATTAAACCCCGACGAAAGTTCTTCGATTTTTTTTTTCACCCTCTTCTCTCCTTTCTTGTGCCAGCCTTTGTTCTTTGGTTGCAGGTCTCATATATAATACATGAGGATTGGGAGACTTATCCGGTTCTGGTCATAGTGGCTGTTATTCCCAGGGAAGGGGCTATATTTAAGAGCTGGATAAGTCATAGATGGCATCAGGGGAGCCACTGACTTCTACCCAAAAGGTGGCAGCGGCTGAATACCATTAAAAACCTAAAATAGAACTCAACACAATTACACTGGAGCAGTGGAGAGGTAGCTGTAAGGGACAGCAGACCTTGCACCTAATAAAGGTAGCTTGTACTTAGTTTTGTCAGGAAGGTGTCTTGTGACAACACTGTTGCTCCCTGGTGGCTAGTTAGACTGTTTTTGTATATCACAAAATTGAATTTAACCTTATCTCTTTGTATCTGCTCATGTTTTTCCTACAAGAAATCAAATTTATTCCCTTTTTCTCATGCTTGTGTTTCCACAGCTGGCACCACCTACATCTTCGGTAAAGGAGGGGGTCTGATCACGTACACGTGGCCCAACAATGAGCGGCCGAGCACGCGGACAGACCGGCTGGCGGTGGGCTTCAGCACCACCATCAAAGACGGGATCCTCGTGCGCATTGACAGTGCCCCGCGTCTGGGCGACTACATCATGCTCCACATTGTAAGTTGTGACTCTTAATTAATATTCAACGGTTTAATATCACTTGCAATTATGAGGTCACTCAAGCAATTAATCTGAGGCTTAACATCTGGCTCAATCTGTTTTACAATAGCTTATGCATTCTATTAATCAGAGCTTGTTTGCTGCTGTCCATGAATAATCATATGTTTCTAGCTTGGCCAAGATGATGACCACAAACAAAAAAAAAACCTGACTCAACCCTTAAGGTTTACTTATTGCAGTCTTCTGTGCAAATCTTGCCCATCATGCTCAAACTGAATTATACAAATAGTGCAGATCTATATAAAAAAAAAAAAAAAAAGATAACCCCAGACTAGCCTCCCTGACTGTTCTCTTCCAGACAAACCCTACTTCTCCACCATGTTCAAACTGACTCCCAGCATGAATAATTGAATGTGGCTCTCCATACATATGCAGCATATTCCCACATGAGAGAAAGCAGGTGGGATTGGTGCCGGGATTTGGAATTCTCGACCAGTTGACTGTTTATCCGAGCAGCTTCTTTAATAATTTCACTTGTGCGACCTTGTGTTGGACTTGTTTACATAAGCATTAAGTATTAACGTTATCATCAGCAGCAACCAGATGAATGTAGGGCGTTATATTCGCTGCGGTGGAGGCACGTAGAGGTGTTAGTGAGGGTGGTGGTGGTTGCGGGTTGGTTGCTGCTGACGCCATGCGAAAAAAAGCTGCGATGATGAGGAGGAGGAGCCACAGTTGCTAAAGCAGATTGAAAGTCTTTTTCTTCTTAAAGAGCTCCCCTCATCTCCTGAGCGCGGGCCATGTGGTGCAGAAATTCAGCCATCTGCTCTGCAAAGATGAGGGCCAACAGCAAGCAGTTTTTGAGCTGCCTTTACATTAAAGAGAGATGAAGTGAAGTATATGTGTATGTGTGTGTGTAGGTGAGAGAACTGAGTGGAGGAAGGATGAAGATGTACGGTGGTGAGCACGGCATGTGGAGAAGCTTCCCTGCATGTTTCTAACTGACTGAGTAATTGTGGGATCCTCTTAAGGAGAGGGGAATAGAAATCCATTTTTTATTCTGCTTTTTACATATCACTGCAAAGCTAGCCAAGCAGGATATCTCTTATAATTTGACTGCGACTCGTTGGGCGGCGAACATCTTCATTCCTCCAGCCTCATGGCACTAATGAATTTATTGATAGAAAAAAGCAACTGGAGATTTTTGCCAGTTTATTCAGACAAGCAGCATGCTCTGAACACAGTGTGGGGGTGATCTTTTTGTATGTATTTTTTAAATCTTCATTTTATGCTGCATGGGTAACATTGCACTGTAAATATTTCTAATAGTGTAGTGACAGCCAAGGGCCTAAACTATAAAATGCTGCAAAAGTCATGGCACTACAAGGTTTGTGTTTATTTCTCCCACAATTACACTGTTGTTGACTAGAAACCAAATGAAAAAAGCCAGACTTTTTGCCACAGGTAAAGAGTAAATAATTAATAAGACCTTGAGTGAATATTCAGCTGTGAGAGCAGTGGATTTGGTTCCAACTTGAGGCAAATAAACCACTGCTCAGCCTCACTTTTAAATATTGTTGTCGTTATCTGGATAAAATATCATCATTTTCCCCCACATTAGACTTTCTTACTCACCCGCTTTACAGTTTGGGGAATACTTCTTGTGCAGGTTGTGTAGTAGAAAAAAGGTTTCATCTAATTTTCAGCTTGTTGCCTCTACTAGTTTTCTGTGTGCAAATTAGCAGATACTCCAGACTTCACTGAAATGTCATCACATAATAACTCCTAATGCCACATGTCAGGTCTTGGCTTCAGTCTGTATTTTGCATATAGTGATGAATCTGGAGGAAAAGGTTAAATGAGTTATGCCTGTCGATTATTGGCATACGTCCAACGAACCAAAAGGTTTTATCGGGCAATGGGCCATTATCTTGGCCGTTGGAATTATTAGGTCACTACTTGAGAATCAAGTAGTTATTTGTTGCGTAAAGAACACAGACAAAAACAGAAAGAGCCCAGACCTAATCGCTGAACTCCCTCCTCAGTCTCTCTTTTGCATTTTTCATTATCTGCTCTCCTTCCTCTGTGTGACTAGCTTATGGCTTGTTTGGCAATCATGAATTAAAATGCTGATTGTGGTGTTTACATTTTAACTGCTAAGAACAACTGCATGCTTGGTTTGAAAACTGAGGGGCAATTTGAGGTAATTTGCGGAGGTAAGTGTGACATTTCACTGTTGCTGTCATTTCATTTAGGAGTTCATTAGGTTTCTGAATGCGGATTGAAAATCAGACAATGAGCTTCCCGGTGCATGGGTGCAAAAAATTGCAATGCTAAGATACGGAGCTAAAGCTGCATGGAAAACAAATATCAAAGACATTTTAACAAATATCAGAGACGTTTCTATTACAAGTGACGTTTTAGTGCAAGATGAGTCAAACAGGGAAGGGGTCGTGGCAGTACTGCAGGGATTAGTAGTGTGTTTGTGTGTGTTTGTGTGTGTTTGTGTGTGTTTATGTGTGTGTAAGCTCAAATCCATGACAGAAAAAAGCCGTGGGCTAGATGTGCCGGTCGTGACTCACACAGTATCTCGCCAGGGACTGTATTTGACTGCAGGTGAAGATTACCAAAGATTTAACATGCACACAGACACACACACACACACACACACACGCACACTCAGGCATGGGGAGAGAGAAATACTTTTGAATTTTATCTTTACTACATCATTCAAGTAGATTTTTTTTGCTCAATTACAATAACAAGATCAGTTGCCACAAAAAGACAAGGACAGGACAAATAATGATAAACACACAAAGCAACTGTTTCAACATCTTATCACGGTGATAAATAAGCTGCTGGTGGTAAATTTTTGTTAAAAGCTGAAGTTTCAAAACTGTCAAAATGTTGTCTGGATATTAAAAAAGAAGCAGCATTGTGTACTTCTTTGAAGATACAACCTTGTGCCTGGGATATCATTAATTTAAGTCACTGGTAGCTGAGAGAATCTGAAGGTTAACAAGACAGAAAGTGTGGATACAGCTATACTGTATATACACAGCATAAGCCAATGTGTAAACTCAATCAATCAATCTAATTTTATTTATATAGCCTGTATTCACAAATCACAGTTGTGACAGTAGTGCAGTAGATGTTGACAGTAGTGCAGTAGATGTTGGGTAAAACAAACCACATACAAAAAAAATAAAACATATTTAAAACATTTAAGGGAAAAGACAGTCAGCTAAATGGAGAGGTTTATTAATGTTTAAAGTATTTATACAAAAGAAAGTGTACAGAGAATAAGAAAGGCAGAGCAGCATGGATAATCGTAATGATAGAGGTATGGTTATTAATACTTATGCCCTGTTACAAGAAGGCTGGCTGTTCGACCCTGATTTCCCCCATTCAGCATGCCAAAGTGTCCAAGATATTGAAACCCAAACCGCCTCTGACATATCACACATCTCATCCATCACACATCATTCACTGATCGCCACGATCCAAGATGTAGCTGCAGCTATACTCCTGGATCTGCAACGATAAAGCACAAGGACTCTGGGAAAAGTCAAGTCAGTGCTACAGTCCACTATCTAAGAGGTGAAAGTCAGACTGGAGACTAAGAAAGGAAGATGTCCTGAGCTCTGTTTGATCAAATCACATCAGCATGCCTCAGCCACCAGACCTCAGCTTTTCTCCTCTACATTGTTTGAACACGACAATACAGAGTGAGAGTAAATGAAGGGGAGCTCAGTTCACGGCTCCTGTGGGTCCGGGCAAACTCGCTTGGAGTCAGGTGAAGCAGAAATTCGCGAATGTTTCGTCGAGTTTCGTGTCTGGCAGCTCTTTTCTTGTCTTCCATTTAGGATAGAAAAATCACAGTGAGAAACCTGACATGAAAAAGACTGCAAGTATTGCAACACATTCTCTACAACAGGTAACTTGAAAATGTGCTGCTTTCCACACAACGTCATAAAAATGAAAACTCCAATTTTCAGAAAGGAGATAAATATGACTTAAATAAAAAAGAATCAAAGCTTTAAAAACCCGGGCTGCTGTTGTTTGAACTATAAAGCTGCTTTGTTGCTTTTAACATTTCAAGTGTAACAGGAATTGTTTGATTTTAATTTAAAGTTATGTCGAAAGCTGTTTAAAGGCATTACATTTCACTCCTAAACCACATTAGCACTCACATTTTTTATGGTTCACACTCGTGTTTTATATGGAAATAAAAGCACACTTCTTGGTTGTAATGTTAACGGTCTTCATAAAGCGTCTTCCGGCTGGATGGACAGATGCTCCAGATGTCTTATGTCTTGTGTTATCTCACCCGGCACATGTACAAAACACGTTTTTACACTCTCATCTCCGATCCCCGGAGATATCTCAAATCTTAGCTCTCTCGCCAAAACATACATTGACGGCCAATCAGACTCATGTTTTCATACAGAGCGACTGCACATGAACTTCCATCAACCACTTCAGTCCCCCCCCCTCGTCTTGCTCATTCGCAGAGTGAAAAGGTGCAGCTGTTGGATAATTGAAAACATTAACGCAGACGGGGAATTGGAATGAAATGAGTGGCTGTGGATGGTAAATGTTGCATTACATGGACGATGCTGTATCCATTTATTCCATCACATACGTCACCTTCATACATACACTAATGCCTGTATATTTTAATGTATTGATGCAGTACAGATGCATTATTCATTCACTTCTTCACTCTTCTGCCTCTCTCCATCCTTCCTCTCTCCACCAGTATCTGTTCCCCCATTTACCTGCCTGTTCTCACTCCCTCTCCTCCTGACAGACCTAATATAAGATGCTTGATGTGTACCTGTGTGCATGAGCGCATATATGGCCGGCAAAGTATTGCCTCTATCAAGTTACCCTACATCGGCAGGGAAAGATAGATATTATCGCGGTTGTGGCTCATGGCCTCTGATAACATTACAGCGTCTTATTTGACTTTGTATTTCCTTACCTCCCACATT